GGGCAAGGGGGGAAGTGGGCTGGAGTTCGTGGATAACAATGAGGTGGGGAGGGGGGAGAAAGGGAATCAAGGGAGTTGGCAAGAAAAAACGCCAACAAACCAAACATCTAGTGAAACTGAGACTAAGATCTTGGATTTGGATTGCGGCATGGAGGAGGGGAGGTGTTCCACTAGCCGAGGGGCCCCCATAGAGGTCGTGGTGGGGAGGGGGAGATGCGGAAAAAGGAGACCTCAAATTCGGCTTAATTCGGACCGCCTACATTAATAATCCCAAACCGGTCTCCTAAGGTAAATTGGTGTAACCAGGTTGGCGGGCCCTCCGGATTGAAGGTGGTGCTGCTAAACGCCAGATCTGTCAACGGAAAAACGACCTTTATCCAGGATTTCATCCTGGATGAGCGGGCAGATCTGGCGTGCATTACGGAGACCTGGTTGGATGAAGCTGGGGGGGTGAATCTGACCCAGCTTTGTCCTCCAGGCTTCTCCGTACAGCACCAACCGAGATCCGGAGGACGGGGAGGCGGGGTCGCAGTAGTCTATAGAGATTCCATCCATCTGACCAGGAGTCCCATCCCGCAGACCACAAATTTTGAATGCGTCCACATGAGGGTGGGTGACCGGGACAGAATAGGGATTCTGTTAGTGTACCGTCCACCTCGCTGCACTACAGTCTCCCTACCTGAGCTAGCGGGGGTGGTCTCGAGCCTGGCGTTAGAGTCTCAACGGCTTCTTGTGCTGGGAGACTTCAATATCCACGCCGAGGCGACCCTCACAGGAGCGGCTCAGGACTTCATGTCGGCCATGGCAACCATGGGGCTGTCCCAACAAATATCTGGCCCCACCCACTGTGCTGGACATACATTGGACTTGGTTTTCTGTCAGGGATGGGAACAGGGTGGCGGTGCGGAGGAGTTATCCATCTCTCCGTTGCCATGGACTGACCACTTCCTGATCAGATTTAGGCTCACTGCACCCCCCAACCTCTGCAAAGGTGGAGGACCCATTAAGATGGTCCGCCCCAGGAGGCTTATGGATCCGAACGGATTCCTGACGGCTCTTGGGGATTTTCCCGCCACCTCGGCAGGTGACCATGTCGAGGCCTTGGTCGCTCTCTGGAATGGGGAGATGACCAGGGCAATTGACAGGATCGCTCCGGAACGTCCCCTCTCAAGTAACCGAGCTAAACCAGCTCCTTGGTTTACTGAGGAGCTGGCAGCGATGAAGCGAAGGAAGAGGGAACTAGAGAGCGTGTGGCGTTCGGATCCGAGCGAGTCAAATCGAGCACGGTTTGTGTCCTTTCTAAGGGCATATGCCGCGGCAATAAAAGCCGCAAAGAAAACTTTCTTTGCGGCCACTATTGCGTCTGCAAAGAACCGTCCGGCGGAGTTGTTCCGGATTGTCAGAGGTCTGTTAACTCCCACCACCTCAGGTGGGAGCCCTGACAATTCGGCCACGCGCTGCGAAGCATTTGCTCGGTTCTTTGCAGACAAAGTCGCCTTGATCCGTTCTGAGCTGGACATCATGTTAAATGCAGTCTCTGTGGATGTGACACGAGCACCTGCTGGTCCTATTTTGATGGATTCTTTTCAGTTTGTGAAGCCCGAGGATGTGGACAAGATACTTGGAGGAATGAGGCCCACCACGTCCATCCTAGACCCCTGCCCATCCTGGCTACTGAAGGAGGCCAGAGGGGGATTGGCTGAGTGGGTAACGGTGGTGGTTAATGCCTCCCTCCGGGAAGGCAAGATTCCAGCGAGCTTAAAACAAGCTATTATAAAACCGCTGTTGAAGAAACCATCATTGGACCCCACTAAATTTGACAACTTTTGGCCTGTTTCCAATCTCCCCTTTTTGGGCAAAGTCATGGAAAGCGTGGTGGCCTCACAACTCCAGGTATTCTTGAGAGACACGGATTATCTGGATTCGGCACAGTCTGGTTTCAGACCGGGACATGGAACTGAGACGGTCCTGGTCGCCTTAGTGGATGATCTGCGCCGGGAGCTAGACAGGGGGAGTGTGTCCCTGTTGGTGCTCCTGGACCTCTCAGCGGCCTTCGATACCGTCGACCACGGTATCCTTCTGGGGCGCCTTGCGGAAATGGGTCTCGGGGGCACTGTTTTGCAGTGGCTCCGGTCATTTCTGGAGGGCCGCACCCAGAAGGTGTTATTGGGGGACACCTGTTCGACACCACAGCCTTTGACCTGTGGGGTTCCACAGGGCTCTATACTGTCCCCCATGCTGTTTAACATCTACATGAAGCTGCTGAGTGAGATCATCCGGAGTTTCGGGGTGCGGTGTCATCTGTACGCAGATGATGTCCAACTCTGTCACTCCTTTCCACCTGCTACTAAGGAGGCTGTCGAGGTCCTGAACCAGTGCCTGGCCGCTGTAACGGTCTGGATGAGGGCGAACAAACTGAAATTAAATCCAGACAAGACAGAGGTACTCCTGGTCAGTCGCAAGGCCAACAGGGGATAGGGTTACAGCCTGTGCTGGATGGGGTCGCACTCCCCTTGAAGGCGCAGGTTCGCAGCTTGGGTGTGATCCTGGATTCATCGTTGAGCCTGGATCCCCAGGTTTCAGCGGTGACCAGGGGAGCATTTGCACAGCTTCGGCTCATGCGCCAGCTGCGCCCGTACCTCGGGAAGTCTGACTTGGCCACGGTGGTACACGCTCTGGTCACATCCCGCCTTGATTACTGCAATGCTCTCTACGTGGGGCTGCCCTTGAAGACGGCCCGGAAGCTACAGCTAGTCCAGCGTGCGGCAGCCATGTTATTAACAGGAGCGGGACGCAGGGAGCACACAACGCCCTTGCTGTTCCAGCTCCACTGGCTGCCGATCTGCTACCGGGCCCAATTTAAGGTGCTGGTGTTGGCCTACAAAGCCCTAAACGGTTCTGGCCCAAATACCTCTCTGACCGCATCTCGGCCTATGAGCCCACGAGGACTTTGAGATCATCTGGGGAGGCCCTTCTCTCGATCCCGCCTGCCTCACAGGCACGTTTGGCGGGGACGAGAGATAGGGCCTTCTCGGTGGTGGCACCCCGGCTATGGAGCACCCTCCCGGTGGACATCAGACAGGCGCCCTCCCTTATGTCATTCCGCAAGGGTCTAAAGACCTGGTTATTCGAGCAGGCGTTTAACTAAATGCTATAATAAGTGGCAATGATAACCTGGAACGGAATATGGAATACGAGATTGGTTTACGATTCTATAATGAGACGACACGGATGATTTAGAGTAATTATATTATTGTTGTATTATTGATGGTTATGTGTATATTTCGTTTGTATGAGGGTTTTATTGTAAACTGTTTATATGTTGTACACCGCCGTGAGTCGCCCGAAAGGGCTGAGAACGGCGGTCAACAAATGCAATAAATAAATAAATAAATAAATAATACTTACCTCAGGAACCAAAATGGTGCTACACAGGGTAATGTTTTAGGTCATGTAGAGAGAGGCTGGAACCCCTGAATGCTGTGCGAGGGGCAATGCGCTGGCCCCTCTCTCATGCTAGAATGGCTCCCAATGGCCAAAAGCAAAGCAGAAGAGAGCAGTAAACATAACAGAGAGCCCTTGTGTCCACGGAGGAAAGAGACAAAGGCAACGCTCCTTAAGGAGGAAACGGAGGAGGCCTCTTTGCACATGGGACTCCTCACGAGAAGCAATGCATCGAGGCAATGCATGGCTCATTGTTTCCTCTGAAAGGAACCTATGGCTGCATCTAAACTCTGGCATTAATGCAGCTTGATGTCATTTTAATGGCTGGATTTCTTTGGCATTGAATCATGGGAGTTGCAACCTTCAGAATGGGGGACGAAGCCTGGCTCGAGAGCAGTATGTGTGAAAAAGATCTTGGAGTCCTCCTGGACAAGAAGTTAAACATGAGCCAGGAATGTGATGTGGCGGCAAAAAAAGCCAATGGGATTTGGTCCTGCATCAAGAGGAGCCTCGTGTCCAGATCTAAGGAAGTCATGCTCCCCATGCTCTATTCTGCCTTGGTTAGACCACGTCTGGAATATTGTGTCCAGTTCTGGGCACCACAATTCAAGAGAGATATTGACTCTAAGCTGGAATGAGTCCAGAGGAGGGCAACTAAAATGATCAAGGGTCTGGAGAACAAGCCCTATGAGGAGTGGCTTAAGGAGCTGGGCATCTTTAGCCTGAAGAAGACAAGGATGAGAGGAGATACGATAGCCATGTATCAATACGTGAGAGGAAGCCACAGGGAGGAGGAGGGAGCAAGCTTCCTTTCTGCTTCCTGGAAACTAGGACGCAATGGAACAATGGCTTCAAACTATAAGAGAGGAGATTCCATCTGAACATGAGGAAAAACTTCCTGACTGTGAGAGCCGTTCAGCAGTGGAACTCTCTGCCCCGGAGTGTGGTGGAGGCTCCTTCTTTGGAAGCTTTGAAACAGAGGCTGGATGGCCATCTGTCAGGGGTGATTTGAATGCAATATTCCTGCTTCTTGGCAGAATGGGGTTGGACTGGAGGTCTCTTCCAACTCTTTGATTCTATGATTCAATGAAAGAAGATTCCATCTGAACATGAGGAAGAACTTCCTGACTGTGAGAGCTGTTCAGCAGTGGAACTCTCTGCCCCGGAGGGAGTGTGGTGGAGGCTCCTTCTTTGGAAGCTTTGAAACAGAGGCTGGATGGCCATCTGTCAGGGGTGTTTTGAATGCAATATTCCTGCTTCTTGGCAGAATGGGGTTGGATTGGATGATGGCCCAGGAGGTCTCTTCCAACTCTTTGATTCTAGGATTCTATGACTTCTGGCAGGTTTTGTTAAGTCAACCGTCATGGCCGTCCCCCTCTGACACTAGGCCAGGGAGCAACCAGGACTTATATAACACCCTAGCAATCATTGCAAAAGGGAACACAAAGAGAAGTTCGGCGAAGTTCATTTCCAGATGACATCAAGGAACCTGGAGGACTTAATGATTAACACAAATCCTTCTGATAAAGCCATGATTACCGGACTATAAATTTCTGGCTGTGGAGCACCAAAACACACCTTCCCCTTCATTGGATCTGGAGACGTTGTTGTGCTCTCTTCAGATTTTGGGATGGAGCCCTTGGGGACGTCGGCCGTTCTGCTGGTCATCTGCCTCTCCTGCCTTCTCCTGTCTGCCATCTGGAAGAGCCAGGCCAACAAGAGGAGGAAAATGCCCCCTGGCCCAACTCCATTGCCCATCATTGGGAACGCTCTGCAGCTCAAGACCAACCGCCTGGACCTGACTCTGTGCAAGGCAAGTACAAGGGCCTCCATCTCCTCAATAGGGCTTTATGGCCTTCTTCATTGCAGGACTGTTTGTTTGCTTGTGCCAAGGAAGCCACTTTCAGTGATTAGAGAGTGTCAAGAGGGCACACCATCATGGTTTGAAGGATAGATATTATGTGTTTCCATTTCTGGTAACCCTTTGGTAGATCTTCAGTGATGTGCCTCTTTTTAATTAATTAATTCATTAATTTAAAATATGTATATTCTGCCCTTCTCACCCAGAAGGGGACTCAGGGTGGAGCACAGCATATATATGGCACAAATTCATATACACAATTTTTTTGCAGCTCAGTGAGACGTTCGGCCACGTCTTCACCCTCCATTTTGGAACGAAGCCCGTTGTGGTGATTCACGGCTATGATGCTGTCAAAGAAGCCCTGATTGATCGGGCCGAGGAGTTTGCTCCCCGAGGGAAGATGCCGTTACTAGATAAATACATGCAAGGCCAAGGTATGTTGTGGTGCTTGCTGGCTCCAAAGAATTATAGAATCACAGAATCATAGAATCAAAGAGTTGGAAGAGACCTCTTGGGCCATCCAGTCCAACCCCATTCTGCCAAGAAGGGACACTGATGGGGACCAAGGGGAACTCTTCCCCACAAATACAAGGGATTTGGAAGCACGGAGATAAAATCGATGGGGTGAAGAAGCAGAGGGAGGAAAGTTGCTTCAGAATGGGGATGAATTGCAGAATGAATATGAGGGAGAAGTTATGAAATGCACAGATCTAGGAAGGGGTGCACCTGGCTGGAAAACAGTGTCTGTGGGAGATGGGAGTGTCTTGCTTGGTGAAGTAACAGCTGAGAGAAGGGGACCTGAGAGCCATGTTTAAGGATCTGAAGGGATGTCCCATTGAGCAGACGGGGTCAAGCTGCTTTCCCGCTGCTCCAGAGACTGGGACCCAAGCGAGCCATTAGTTCATTCTGCAGGGAAAGTGATTCCACCCAAACATTCGGAAGGATATCTAATGGTCAGAGCCATTTGGCAGTGGAATCTGCTCCTTCCCTAGAATATTCTTTCCATGCACTTTCCATCCAGCTTCTGCCTCCTGCAGAATTCTGGGGTTTGCAGTTTAGGGAGGAGCCTTTAACAGCCTCATAGAATCCTAGAATCCAAGAGTTGGAAGAGACCTCCTGGGCCATCCTCCAGTCCAACCCCATTCTGCCAAGAAGCAGGAATGTTGCATTCAAAGCACCCCTGACAGATGGCCATCCAGCCTCTGCTTAAAAGATTCCAAAGAAGCTAAATGATAAGCCCCAGAATTCTGCAGGAAGCAGAAACTGGATTTTAAGTGGTCTCTTTCTCCTCTCCCTTTCAGGGTTTCGTTCCGAAACAATCCTTGTCAAATGTCACCAGGCAGTCAACGGTTTCTGGATTTACACTGCCATATAATGCAGTTAAGACCCATGCAATGCAGTTCAGTCCATATTATATGCCATAGAATATGGATTGAACTGCATTGCATGGGTTGGATAGTGTCCTCCTTTGCTTCCAACTCTCTTCCTTTGCTTGCAACTTGATCCCCATCTTCACCCTTCTCTGCAATCCATTTTCAGTCGCTCTTCTGTCTTTTCTCCTCTTTCTGGGGTCTCTTCCTCCTCTCCTTCCTTTCAGGGTTTCATTCCAAAACAATCCTCGTCAAATGTCACCAGGCAGTCAATGGTTTCTGGATTTACACTGAATGAACAACAACATAATGCAGTTAAGACCCATGCAATGCAGTTCAATCCGTATTATATGCCATAGAATATGGATTGAACTGCATTGCATGGGTTGGATAGTGTCCTCCTTTGCTTCCAACTCTCTTCCTTTGCTTGCAACTTGATCCCATCTTCGCCCCTCCCTGCCATCTGTTTTAAGCCACTCTTCTGTCTTTTCTCCTCTTTCTGGAGTCTCTTTAATGCAGTTTAGACCCATGCAATGCAATTCAATCCATATTATATGGCGTGATAGATCTAGCCGGCAAACTTCAATGTGCTCCTTGCCTGCACCTCCTCTGAAGAATGAGGGGGAAAGGGGTTGGATCCCACCTTATATTTTTGGTTTTCTCTTTCCACCCACTTCTTCTGCTCAGTTCTTGAAAGGAGGGGGAGGGGAGAGGAGATGTTTGTGTTGTCTTTTCATGCAATACCTGTATTGCTTTACATCTGCCCTACCTCTGTGGCACACCTACACTGAAGAATTAATGTTGCTTTGGGGGATAAGAAGCAGGGAAAAGCAAACAGATGGCCTTGAATCATAGAATCATAGAATCAAAGAGTTGGAAGAGACCTCATGGGCCATCCAGTCCAACCCCATTCTGCCAATAAGCAGGAATATTGAGCTGGGCCAGCCACAAGAAGTGGGGAAAAAGAAGACAAGGAAGGAATTTCCTCCACTTGCTTTCCCCTGGTTCTTGTCCCTCTGCCTGGGCTTCAAGAAGCAGAGAAAAGCAAGTGGAAGAAATTCCTTCCTTCTCTGCTTTCCCTCCTCTTCTTGTGGCTGGCCCAGCTCAAACTGAGGCAGAGGGACAAGAGGCAGGGGGAAAGTGGAGAAGGAAGGAATAAAATAACCTTGGGAGAAATCCAAACATGACGGAATATTTCTGAAAAAAAGGATAAGTGGTTCAAATTCGGATTTGCCTCTCCCACCTTTCTTGCATGGTTCGAAACTGCTTCGGAAGGCAAAATTTGGAAGTTGTTTTTACGACTTTTCAGATCCTCCAATCAACTCTATCCAACTCTGCTTGATATATAATGTGCCTCTGCTATCTTCTTCCCTTTGCAGGGATCATATTCAGCAACGGGGAGAGATGGAAGCAGCTCCGGCGCTTTGCCCTGACCACCCTCCGCAACTTTGGGATGGGGAAGAAGAGCATCGAGGAGAGGATCCGAGAAGAAGCCCAGTATCTCCTGGAGCAGCTGCAGGCCACAAAAGGTACGTCGATTGGGTCAACCACCACCACCACTGTCATTCAGTTATGGCCCTTCTGAGAGGTTCCTCCCTTTCTTTTGCCCAAAGGCAAGGTTGCCCAAGGTTAGAAACTGGAATCCTTGCATGCATTTTAGTCTTGGGACCCTTTAGATTGTTAATGACTCACCTCTTCAAAGGCTCAGCCAATGTCTGAGAACTTCCCCCCAAAAGCTTGAAGGATCTATGGCCTGATGTTACCTGGAGCTTGGGTCCTTTCCCCATTAGAGATTGAGACACCTGGCCAAATCTGGCATTCCAACTTCTTTAATTGGAATAAGAGGAAGAGGATTACTGTCTTCTGAAGAGCCAACATAGACCAATTCTTTGATCATTGGATTTTGACCCTGGAGACCAAGATTCAAATCCATTATTTTTGCTTGCCTGTATTGTTCTCATGGTGATAATCGGGCAAGATGAGTCACTCTTGCTCCAATCTCCTTCCTCTGTTTGGTTTTTGCCCAAGAAGACCTTCAGAGGTTGTTCATCCCCATTTCCTAATTGTGTAGAAGGGTGCCCAATCCATCCTTCCATATGGATCTTCAGTCTTGTACCATGGATGATCCATGGATGATGGTCAGGGAGATGCTGAAATCACCAACCTAAGGGATGGGGCAACTTAATTTGCTGCAGACAACCTTCTACAGCGTGGATTGGCCACCAAGGCAGCTCTCAGTCTCATAGTCGAATGTCTTGGTATAAGATGAGTGCAGCCAAGCCATGCTCAGGGCACTAAGCCTTGTTGCCTCTTGTCCTTCCAGAGCAGGCCTTCGACCCCACTTTCCTGCTCAACTGCGCTACTTCCAACATCATCTGCTCCATTGTCTTTGGAAAACACTATGACTATGATGACAAGAAGTTCCTCGCCATCATGGCCGTAATGAATGAAAACTTTGAGATTGTCAGCTCTCCTTGGGGCCAGGTAGGTCTTCAGCAGTTCAAAATACACTTCTTTATTGTGCAGATTTAGTTTTTTTGTGGTATGTCATAACTCCTTGTACAGATAATAATAATAATAATAATAATAATAATAATAATAATAATATTTGTATACCCTGCCACCATCCCCCCAAGGGGGACTCGGGTGGCTTACATGGGGACAAGCCCAAGAATCAAGATTACACAACAACATGAAAATCAATCAAATAAAAACACAACAAAATCACGACAACAATGACATTAAAACAATATTATGGCTGAAAAACAGAATCAGGCTGGGTCTAGGCTCAAATAGTGCAGTAAGTTCTTAAGTAATGTGGGAGGGAGGAGAACGGAAGGATTCCTAGAAGGGTGAATGAGGAATATCTGGGCAACAGGAGTTGTGATACAATGAGTCTTTGGGGAACTGGGAAACATCTCTTCTACTTAGGAAGATCATATGCATTTCTGGTCAAAGAGCAGCTGCAACTGGTGCAAAAATCTTGGCACTCCCTCTTGGCAAGGGGAGTGGGATTCCTCATTGACATGTTTTGACATATCTATTGCTATCCAACTGGTGAGATGACAAGAGCACCAGAGTACTCTCTAGGGGGGCATCTCCATGGTAAAATGAATGCAGTTTGATACCCCTTTAATTGCGATGGCTCAATACTATAGAGTCCTGCAAGATGTAGTTTGGTGAGGTATTGTCATACCAGGTAAAAACACAAATCCCAGAATTCCATGACATTGAACCATGGCAGCTCAAGTGGTGCCAAAAGGCAGTCATTCTGTAGTGTAGACACATCCCAGGTTCTTCTGTTCTAGAGCTTTTGAAGGACACTTTGCTATCCTTGGGAGACAAGGTCAATGTCCAGCTCTTAGGATGGTGAAGCTCAACCCCTTCCTTCTCCCTTCCTTTCCAGGTGGCCAACACTTTCCCTTCCTTCATGAATTTGATCCCGGGGCCTCATCACAGAATTGGGACAAACTTGGAAAAAGCCAAAGCATTTGTCACGGAGGAAATGGAGTCCCACAAGGAGACCCTGGACCCAAGCTCCCCTCGGGATTTCATTGACTGCTTCTTGGTGAAACAGGACCAGGTAAGACCACATTATAGACCCTTCAAGGCAGGAGGAGGTGTTGGAAGTCTGGATCATCCAGGAAGATTGTCTTCTTCTAGGTGGACCCTCTTGACCATCCCATTGTTCCCTTGTATTCCTTAGCATTCTATCAATCAATCAATCAATCAATCAATCAATCAAGCTTTCAATAACTTTTATGGAATAAGAAAAGTGGCTAGTCTCAAGCAAGAAGGGTTTGCAACAACAAAAACCATTTTAAGAGTTTTGTGCGATAACATCCTGGATGGTCCACCTTGTTCTTCGTAGACACTTCCCACTTTTCTTCCTCTGTTGAATTGTTTGCATTTCTGCAAAGATTTTGACAGAGACAAGCAATGTCCTTCAAATGTATTTCTTATGTGTCGCCAGATTCTTAACTCCTCCAACATCTGCATGGACAGATTGTTTTCCACCATTTTTGATCTTTGGTATTATAGATGACTGAATTGAATTAAATTGACCCCACTGCTTCTGATGCATATTTCCCCAGGAAAAGAACAACGAGGCATCTGCGTTCACCACTGAGAACCTGCTAAGGTCCACCATTGACTTATTTTCAGCAGGGACTGAAACAACCAGCACCACCCTCAGATACGGGCTCCTGATCCTCCAGAAGTACCCAGAGATAGAAGGTAAAACAAATGCAGGTTCTACAGGAGTTCTATGTTTCCTGCATGTTGGTTTCTTGACATTGAGTCTCCTTCATCTCCTGGCAGAGAAAGTGCGAGAGGAGATTGACCGGGTGGTTGGTCGCTCGCGGTTTCCTTGCATATCTGACCGTGGAGAGATGCCCTACACGGATGCTGTCATCCATGAGATCCAGAGGTTCATCTCTCTCGTCCCGATGAGTCTTCCCCATTCAGTGGCCAAAGACACACCATTCAGAGGATACACCATCCCCAAGGCAAGGGCCCTCTTTCTACTTCAAGAACTCAACATGATTCTTCTATGAAGAAGGGAATTGGTGCAGCCTATAGATATCACCCATGAGGTCCTCAAAACTGGGGAAGCTTGAGAGGGAAAATGCCATACTTGATCTGTTATAGACCCAAACTAGAAAGTGCTTCCCAGGTCAAAAGCAGTAAATTGTGGGATCCTAGAGTTGGAAGAGACCATCACCTTCCTCAACCTGGACACTAGACTCCTATTGAGGAAGCCTAGAAAAATGTTGGCTTTTTAAGTTGCTGCATCATACTGTTTGAACCCTGCTTGGGAAGGAACTAGTGAAAGAAAAGAGTTGCAGTTTTGGTGAGCTCAATAGCAGCAAGCATACTTTTTATGCTTATGTAGATGCCATGAAGAGCACCCCCACCCACCCCCCTTGGCCTCCAATGAGCCACACAGAATCTGGCTATGGTTAGGATGCCACAAATTTAAAGAATGTAAAGAATGTGAGGTGTCTGCTTAGTGTGAACTCAATGGTAAACCAGTTCTCTCCCTGGATGCATCCTTCTCTGCAGGATACCACCGTGTTTCCTCTGTTGACCTCAGTGCTTTTTGATGGCAAGGAGTTCCCCAACCCCACACAGTTTGACCCACAGCATTTCCTGAACAAGGACGGGACCTTCAGGAAGAGCGACTACTTCATGCCCTTTTCTGCAGGTAAAGATACCACTGCAAGTCTTGGGTGGGTTTTGGGGGGTCCATTCAGGCAAGGAAGAGCAGTGCTCTCTCCATCTCCTGCTGGGTGATCAATCCGACCATAATATACAGAAAAACATTGGGAGAGAAGGAAGGGCCTGCCCTTGGTCCTCCTCAAGAAGGACTACTGAGGGTCATAGAATCCTAGAATCCTAGAGTTTGAAGAGACCTGGTGGGCCATCATCCAGTCCAACCCCATCCTGCCAAGAAGCAGGACAATCACTTTCAAAGCACCCCTGACAGATGGCCATCTAGCCTCTGCTTAAAAGCCTCCGTAGAAGGAGCCTCCACCACACTCCGGAGTAGAGAGTTCCACTGCTGAACAGCTCTCACAGTCAGGAAGTTCTTCCTCGTGTTCAGATGGAATCTCCTCTCTTGTAGTTGGAAGCCATTGCTCCATGTCCTAATCTCCAGGGCAGCAGAAAGGAAGCTTTCTCCCTCCTCCCTATGACTTCCAGGTCACAGGGTCACAGTCCAATGCCAGCAGGATTGGTTCTGGGTGTTTTGCAGGAATCCTCCAGTATCATAATTGAATGGCAAGATGCATTGTACACCGTCACCATTGTTTACATGTTATGCACATACCGCAAAGCCAAAGAAGGAAGGTTTCCCTGCCTTAGGGAAGTTCATTGCTGAATCCATTCTGCAAATTTGCAGCAGTTTGGAAACACCATGGCTTCATTCTGCCAAATCCTGGGATTTATAGATCAAGGAGGAAAAGTCAGATCCCTCCTCCTACATTTTTCTAGTACGGAATACCAAGTCCTTCAACAAGCTTCTGCCGTGCTGAGGATCCCATGGGATGAAGCAATGGAAGCTGAAGTGCATCAACTGCAAGGTGCAGATGCAATCCTTGTTTCTGTTCTGGGCCTGATGAGTTTCATGGTCTTGATCCATAACACATGGAGACTCTTAAACTAGTGTGTGATCCATAACACATGGGAACTATAAGGCACTTTAGAGTTGATGCATGGACCTCCCATGGCAGAGATCAGGAATTCTTTGGCTGCATCTACACTGTAGAATGAATGCAATTTGGTGCCACGTGGACTGCTATGGAATCCTGGGAGTTGTAGCTTGGTGAGGCACCAGCACTCTTAGGCACAGCAGGTTAAATCTCTTGCAAAATTACAACTCCTTGAACTTCATAGCATTGAGTCATGGCAGTTAAGAGACATAATAAATATAATAATAGTAATAATAACAATAATAATAATAATAATAATTATTATTATTATTATTATTATTATTGAGGTGTTGTAGGTTTTTTTGGGCTGTATGTCCATGGTCTAGAGGCATTCTCTCCTGATGTTTCACCTGCATCTATGGCAAGCATCCTCAGAGGTAGTGACTGAGGTCTCAGACCTCACTACCTCTGAGGATGCTTGCCATAGATGCGTGTGAAATGTCAGGAAAGAATGCCTCTAGAGCATGGCCATGTTGTTGTTCATTCGTTCAGTCGTCTCCGACTCTTCGTGACCTCATGGATCAGATACAGCCCGAAAAAACCTGCAACAACCCAGTGATTCCGGCCATGAAAGCCTTCGACAATAATAATTGTTGTTTCCAGCTGCATTATTCTACAATGTATATGCACCCTCTGTGTCTTCCTTGTCTTCTTGCACTTCCATTAAATCAATGACATGCCACAGGATAGAGATACAGAGACACAGGCTAGAGCAGTGGTTCTCAACCTGTGGGTCCCCAGGTGTTGTGGCTTACAACTCCCAGGAAACCCAGCCAGTTTACCAGCTCTTAGGATTTCTGGGAACTGAAGGCCAAAATATCGGAAAAGCCACAGGTTGAGAACCACTGGGCTAGAGAGACATAAAAGAGAGACAGGCAAGAGAGAGATTGAGCATTTCCTCTCTCCTTTTATACCCACTTTGTCACCAGTAAGGGACAAATGAGTGATGCAACCTCTTGTCATGAACCTCACATGACCATGACATGTCCATTTCTGCCTGCCCCTTAGGTATTTCATCATTATCCTCTTAGTCATCCCAAGGGTGTGTTATCACATGTCCATCAGAACTGTATTTTACATATAGACTCAATGCTGAGGCATTTCTGTCTAACATGGTGCAGTTGGCATCATCAAACTCCTGGGATCTGCCTGTGTGCTCTTGTTTTAGTCACAGCAGTAAAGGCTGGGGACAATAGTAGGAAGACAAAAGAGTGGTCCCTTTGGCAGCCTCTCAGTGATATGATGCCAAAAAGGAATGCTGAAGCATGGCCTGTGACACTTCTCCCTTTGCTTCCCTTCCTTTCTCGTCCTCCTTGCAGGGAAGCGCGTCTGTGCAGGAAAAGGCTTGGCCCGCATGGAGCTCTTCTTGTTCTTGGCCTCCATCCTCCAGAACTTCAAGCTGAAGCCCCTCACTGACCCCCAGGACATCGACATCAAGCCCCACCTGAGCGGCGTGGGCAACGTTCCCCCGAAATATATGCTCTGCGTCATGCCCCGATGAAGGAATCACACCAGGCCACCATCCATAGGTGCAGATGGCCAGGGGACCCAACTTCTGTTTCTGTTCTAAGAGATGTTTACCAGCACAAGAGTATATGTGTCTATGCCTTGCTTTCACAGAGTTTTATTAGGCCAGAGGTGCTAATCTTCATTTGCTCATTCCTCTGAACCAGAGTCTAGAGCTGCTGCCATTCATTAGTGGTTTCCTATCCAAGGACTAGCCCATTCTGGGCCTACTTAGCTTTCAAGGTCAAATGGGATCTGCTGCCTGAAAAGTCCCAGTTTTTCTCATCTTAGCAAAGTGCACGGGGAAGTTTACCTCTCCTCTGCTGTAAACACTTTGAAGGCACCAGATACTGGAAGCTCAGCAGCTTCAGCCCTGGCTTGAACATGAATGGGAGATCACCAACAAACTCCAGGTGCTGCAGGTGTTGCTTCAGAGGAAGGAAGAGGCAAACTCCAACTCAGAGCAGCCTTCCTTGCCTATGAAAACTCTACAAAATACACGGAGCTGCCGAAATTTGACAAGTATTTGAAGCTCAAATATACAACTGAATATTTGTAAGGCACCAGATATAAACAAATACACATGTTTCTGATGGAGGAATTCCTCATGAATTCAAGAAAATGCACGATCTGCAGAAGGAAAAGGGCCCAAATTGTCCCCTCTAGTCCACGTGTCCTACATATTAGCGAGTTGAGGGCTTGCATGGGAAGAAGGAAACCCTGTGAGTAACAGGAACCTGTTTTTCTGCCACTTGAGAAGCAGTTGACCGAGGGCTTCTCTCTTTCCCACAAAAGACCTTTGGTGTAGTTCTGGCTTCCCTCTGCCTTCTTCTGGGGCCAAAATCCCCACTTAGCTGTGGTTTTGCTCCTTTGAGGCTGAACCCACCCCTCCATGTCCCCGTGGTCCATGACTTGGGTGAGACACAAGCTTTTGCTCATTCTCCAGTTCAATATTCTTGTGTGCCTCCAAGTCATTTCTATGGTGGTGACCCCAAGGCAATCCCCTCCCAGGGGTTTCTGGGGCTGAGAGAGTGTGATCCAAGGGATTTGCAAGGACGAGCAGATTTCTAAAGCCAGAGCCCAAGGCTCAAACCACTGCAGCATGCTGCTTTTGAGGACTCTCTTTCCTGCACATTGCAGCTCCCCAAAACCATCCCCTCTTCTTCTGGTATATCAGGGAAAGGATTACATTATTTCAATTATTTTTTTACCTATGAGCATGTTACTTAATCCCAAGCCTTTCCAGTCCTGCAAGTTTCCTGATCCCAGTTTGGATTTCTCCAGCCTGAGCCATTGCACTTTCTTAGCTGCTAGTGTTTGCATTTTGCATGTCTTGTTTGCCATTTTTGGAACTCTTCCAAAGCATGTGTTATTTTCCCCCAATGCAAGTGTTGTATATGTCTTGATTGCTACTTGTTGAATAAAATCCCTGCTTTGGAAACCTCTCTGTGAATATGAGATTTTGATTCAAGTTGGACAAAAATTGCCCTAATGGCCAGAGTTGCAATATCCTTGATAGAGACAGTTCTACTCAGAGCGTGCAGGAGTTCATTATATATTTGGCTCTGGGGCCATTCCTGTTGACAGGAGGGACTGTTATCATTGAAAGACTGGATTTTTGAAAAGCACAGGAAAACTGTCCAGAACTTTAATAAAAGGGAACGGGGTCATGATTCCACCACATTCCTCACCTTCATCCTTACAGTATATATTCACAGTTGGAATCTGATCCGTTCATAACTATTCCACAAGGAAATAGGATCATCCAGTTGGAGGGGATTCCCTCAAAGCCATCCAGTCCAACTCTCTTCTGCCAGGCAGGAAGACACAATCCAAGCCCTTTCAACAGATGACCATCTAGCCTCCACTCAAAAACTTCCAGAGTAGGAAACTCGGGACTCCCAGGCAGTCCATATTTCACTCACAAAACATCTCCCCTTGCGCTATGCTCCTCTGCTGCTGAGTATGCATGCCCAGTGAGGAACACATCTCACCACGCTAAAACAGTGGATGTGGCTCTTCATGAGACATGCCGCATTATCACGGGGTGCCTGCATCCTACACCACTGGAGAAATTACACTGCTTAGCCAGTATTGCACCACCTGATATCCGCCAGGAAGGAGCAGCCAATAGTGAAAGGACCAAGGCAGAAACATCTCCAGCCCATCCCTTGTCTTGGTATCAGCCAGCACATCAACAACTCAAATCAAGAAATAGTTTTCTTAGATCTACAGAGACACTCGGTGGAACACCTCAGCAAGCGAGAGTCCAAAAATGGCAGGCTCAAACCCAGAATCTCAACCAATGGCTGATACCAGATGAGAGACTCCCCTCTGGGCACACAGAAGACTGGGAGATCTGGAAGGCACTGAAAAGACTGCACTCTGGCCCCACGAGATGCAGAGGCAACCTTCAGAAATGGGACTACAAAGTGGAATCCTTGACATGCGAGTGTGGAGAGGAGCAAACCACTGACCACCTGCTGCAATGCACCCTGAGCCCTGCCACATGATGCACAAGGGAGGACCTCCTTGCGGCAACACCAGAGGCACTCCAAGGGGCCAGAGACTGGTCAAAGGACATTTAATCGAATACCAAGTCTGCAAACTTTGTGTTTTGTTTGTTTGTTTGTTTGTTTGTGTTAAAAAATGTAATACAAATGTCTGGTTGCTGCTGACACAATTGATAAATAAATAAATAAATACTCACAAAACAGGTCTGATGGGGATTCATGGGTTTTGACAAACACACACACACACACACACACCAGACACTCTAAATGGATATTTTAAGATTGGGAAAAGATGTAGAAGAGAGCCACAATGAGTACCTCTCAGGGGATGGAGCCTGAGCCTTTCTCTCCAAGGGAAGAGCACAACCTGGTCATGGAAAGTGGCTCATTTAAGAGGCAGAGGCATGGCATTACATTTTCAGAGTTTTCCTTGGTGTGATTTGAGATCATAGGAAGTCTTTGCAGAAACAGGGAAGGAGCCCAGCAGCCCCTTGGAGAGCAACTGAGGGAAGCAAAGACATTGCCAGCAAGAGTTGTTATGGACTTTATCCTTGGTCTCTGTATTAACTGCAGTCCACGGAAGCTTAGGCGGAAAACAGCTTTTGCCCAATGAGTCCCTGAGGAACAACATCTCTCCTTCTTAGGAAGATCCCATGCACTTCAGCTCAAAGAGCAGTTGCAAATGGTGCAAAAAGCTTGGCTTATGTTTTCGTCATGTAATGGATTTTTTTTAAAAAATTAAAAGATAGAAAAAGAAAGAAAAATTTCCGAGAGAGAGGGAAAGAACAAGGTTGTCACTTGTATACAATAGGGCTGGGCGGTTTCGTTTCGTTAATTCGTAATTCGTTAATAATTCGTTAATTTTTTCAATTACAAAACGATAACGAACCGTTCTGGAGCAATTATTAAAAAAACAAATTTTCAAAAACGTTTTGTAAATGCTTCGTATTCCGATATTGTATTCGTTTTGTTATTGTTTTGAGGTCGTTTCATTATTATTTCCGCATGTCTGGGCCAGTTTTATGGTTTAATTAGTGAAAAAAAATTATAATATCACACCAACAGTCAACAACAGAGGGAGAGGGAAGCTTCAGAAGGTTTTGGAGGTTTTTTAGCGTATTTCGCGGTCGCGTCCGCCATTAACGAATCGATTCGTTATTGTTTCGGAAATCGATTCGTTAATTTTTTACCATTTACGAAATTTCGTAAATATCGAACTTTTTGAAAGGAAAATTTTGTAATTATTTTAAATATCGAAACAAAAAAACCCCCCAAATACAAATCGATTTTAGAAACAAATTTTTCCGTTGTTACCCAGGCCTAGTATACAAGACTGTGCCATCGCTGACTGGGGATCTATAGTTCTTAGTGAAAAAACAAGGACGTGGCAACTTTTCCCCAGGGGATTGCTTCTTGCCTTCCTTTAGAGAACTAGAACTCTCGAGGATCAACAAGACACTATAGATAACTCGAAATAGGCTTTATTGTTCACAAAGAGTTATCTTTCTGAGGCATTAAACTTGATGTTCCAAAAAGGGGTAAAGAAAATATACATTACAGTCTCTGGTTGTCTTGGGTCTAAGGAGCTTTCCAGCTGAGTAGCTTCCAAGTTCCCTCTTTCTCAATGGCTATGAGGTCAAAACACTCACAACCCCAGTCCAATTGTCTATATTGAAGGCACAGAGTCTTTCTCTTGATGCCAAAGGACTGCTTTGAAGGCGCTTAAGATTCCTCAACGTCGTCCAGATGAGCTGGGCATGAAGTATGAATCTTAAGGGTATAAACCTGAGAATTGGTGGTAAGAAATGCCTTGACCAAAGGCTTTGAGCTAAGCCTTTTGCACTTGCATCTGTTGAGCTTTTGGTGGTAAGAATGAAAACGAAAGCGTTGTTTTCCTCCCTAGGAAGGGATGGAGCCAAACAATTGAGCTGGGGAGCAAGCCAATTGATGTAAAACAACACTGATTGACAGCTGTAGATAACCAATCAATTGAACTATACATTTATAGCGGAATAAAGCATGGGGAGCATGACTTCCCTGGACCTAGACACTAGTTGTGTTCATTCGTTCAGTCATCTCCGACTCTTCGTGACCTCATGGACCAGCCCACGCCAGAGCACCCTGTTGGCCGTCACCACCCCCAGCTCCTTCAAGGTCAGTCCAGTCGCTTCAAGGATGCCATCCATCCATCTAGACACTAGGCTCCTATCCATTTACAAGGTAAACAGGCAAGTCTGGACATGTTACAACAGTTCAAACCTTTACAACTTAAAGTTTTACATACAGGTGGCATCAGTTACACCGTCACAAAGACCTTCATCACAGAATTACAGATTGCTAGAGTCGGAAGGGGTCTCAAAGAGTCATCCAGCCCAATTTTGCCATGCAAAGATCCACAAAGATCAACAGGCAGACCTCCTCCCACCCCAGACCACAATGTCGCAACTAAAATACCAGTGAACTCATAGAATCATAGAATCCTAGAATCCTAGAGTTGGAAGAGACCTCCTGGGCTATCATCCAGTCCAACCCCATTCTGCCAAGAAGCAGGAATATTGCATTCAAATCACCCCTGACAGATGGCCATCCAGCCTCTGTTTAAAAGCTTCCAAAGAAGGAGCCTCCACCACACTCCGGGGCAGAGAGTTCCACTGCTGAACGGCTCTCACAGTCAGGAAGTTCTTCCTCATGTTCAGATGGAATCTCCTCTCTTG